GACTGGAGCTCCAAGCTGATTACTCTCAGTGGAAAGTTCATTAACAGGATCATCAAAACTCCTACTGTTGACCTTAAGAAGACAGATTGTAATTTGAGATATGTTTAATCATGAAGATTTTAAAGGAATTGATGCTATATAGTCTTTAAGTTTTTAAGACCATTTGTAAAGATTTTAGTCTGGGATCCAAATGACTTCTGTTTATATTTGCCTTAGGAGAAGAATTTTCTGTCTTTGCTCCAGTTCACGAACTGCATCCATTGGCAACATTAAAGTCAAGGCCATAACAAAGGACTCAATATCTGCCTAGAATTTAAGCAAAACTAATCAAAATGGCAAGAGTGTCCTTTAAGGAAAAGACTATTTGAAGGTTTGAGTTTCAGATACAAAATATTTTGCCTGATGAATATTTCAAGGTCAGATATTCCTCTAAAAAGAAGGAAAGAAATGCCACAGAATTCTCCAAATCCACCACAGCAAAAAATTTTGAAAAAACAAGCAAGTCACAAAGCAAATTTTTCATATCCTAACAAAAACCAGGTCTTTATGAAAAGAGATTATTTCCCAGGAGTTGTGGCTAATAGATAAATGTAAATGATTTTTTTCTCTTTGTAGCTTTGAAACGATTTCATGGTTCCTCAGAGTATCGGAGGGAGATGGAAGACATCCAGCGGGAACGCTTTGCCTTGGATGGGGAGAAACCCAGGAAGCCCTGGCAGTTATTCACTGACCCTGCTGTGAGATGGCAGCTGATCACTGTCATCGTCATGACCATGGGCCAGCAGCTCAGTGGCATTAATGCTGTAAGAGTGAACAAACAGCTTAAATAAGTATTTCATTTCCACCTGGTTTTCACAAAAGATCCATGAGGAGAAGCTCAGTGAAATGGGATAAGTAGGAAAGAATGTCCTTGCATTATTTTGGTGTTTCTCTTTCATTTTTTTCTCATTTCTGTGTTTCTGGTATGCAAACTTTTCTAAAGAAAATGACTTGATACTTCCTCTGAAAAAGAAATAAAGGTGGATCAGCTTAACCCAGTGTGTCTGGTTTAAGACTATAAAGCATATTCAGTAAGTTGACTGATCCTCTTGGCTTTTATGATAGCAATATATTTACTTAAGACATGAATTTTACAGATTGTTATTGCTGCTTATGTTGAATTAGTAACTCACAACATAAAATACAGTAATCTATCTGTTTAGTATGAACATGACTTTGTTTCCAGATAATGTTTTAAATACCAGAAAAACCTCATTGTTTGTTTTTGGGGTTTTTTTTTCTGTTGTAGATTTATTTCTATGCAACTTACGTTTTTGAACAAGCTGGGATCGTGGCAGAAAAAATCCCGTATGTGACACTTGGCACTGGAGTTTGTGAGTGTCTCACAGCCCTCTCCTGTGTAAGGAGCAGTTTGTTCTACCTCCTAATACAAAAAGCAATGATTCTTCTTGAAGAATATTGGTAAAAATGAGATCAGTATATTAACAGAAGGTTGTATCTTGTCCACAGGGCTTGCTGATAGACTGTGTGGGAAGAAGATGCCTTATCATTGGGGGTTATCTCCTCATGACACTCTGGTGCACTGTTCTGACCTTCTCTCTGACCTACCAGGTGCAAGGGACTCGTTCCTGTTACCCAGTGTGACTGAGGAGTGAAAAGGGCACGTGGTGACACAGTAAGGGGGAATGGGTTTAAGCTGAGAGCAGGGTTAGATTAGGTAGCAGGAAGAAATTCTTCCCTGTGAGGGTGCTGAGGTCCTGGCACAGGGTGCCCAGAGAAGCTGTGGCTGCCCCATCCCTGGAAGTGTCCCAGGCCAGGCTGGATGGAGCTTGGAGCAACCTGGGATAGTTGAAGGTGTCCCTGCCCATGGCCAGGGGAGGGATGGGATGCTTTAAAGCCCCTTCCAGCCCAGCCCACACTATGACTACATAATTCTATGATATGATTTAGTAAAAATCATTGAATGAACACTGTTTAATGTCTCTAAGCAGAACTGTTAAATAAATTAGCTGTAAAAGAGTAGTGTAAGACTGCTGGTCTTAATTGAAATAAAATACAGAAACATAACTGTAAAGCCAGACTTTAAAACTGGATTATCAAAATCTGAACTAAACCTTCTCATTGTCTTCTGTTTCAGGAGCTGTACTCCTGGGTGCCTTACATGAGCATGATGTGTGTATTTGCCTTCATCTTGAGCTTTGGGCTGGGCCCAGGTATTGCACAGGAATCTGTGTGAATGGGGGAAGTCTGGGAGAGCTGGGGTGTCACACAGCCAAGAGGCCTTTGCAGCACAGCTGCTGCTGCCCTGGCTGGGGAACCCAGGTGAGGCCATCCTGTAGCCCAGAGCTGAGGCTTACCATGCATGATTCCAGGGCAGCTACACGTGAGGGAGGGCTCAGTTCTGCCCTTCAGAGCACAGGGGATCTACACTTGTCAGAAGGGGCCTGCTCCCTGATCTGTGCTGCTGAAATGGGGCTGTGTTTTAGTGGGACACTTCCTGCAAGGGCAGCAGCCTCAGAATTGTGCTGTTAGGAATTCTAATAGATCAGCTAATGGCATATTCAAAAGCAACTCAGTCTTTTGTAGCATTGGAAATACCTCAAGTTGACATTCAGCACAATTCTCTGTTCTGTTTCTGAACCATCCCAGGTGGCATAACAAACACCCTGACAGCTGAGTTATTTGTACAGTCCTCACGTCCTGCTGCCTACATGATTGCAGGGACTGTGAGCTGGATCAGTTTCTTTACAGTTGGAATGCTCTTTCCCTTCATAGTGGTGAGTATGAACAGCACAATTTCCATTTCATCTGCTCCCAGCTTCCATCCTATTGCTTGTATTGCATTATATACACTTGTATATATTACTGACATCTGACCAGGATGCACACTGCCCCTCAAATGAATTTAACTAGATTCAGTCCCTTTTAAAAGTATTTTTTACACATCACAAACTTCAATAAAATATGATAAATGAAAAGTAAAGGAATGCACTGGAGGGCAATGTTCATGTTCAGATGAAAAAAACCAGAAGGTATCAAAAGCAGAAAAACTTAATCAGATACTGAGATTTACACAAAACATTTTTTAATAGTGCCTTGTGCTTTTATGGCAAAGTAATATTGAGGTGGTACCTGTGGCCAGTAAGTCACATCCCTGAGAATTTGCTGAACTGACAGAGTTCTGTAAGCAGATTATTGGGAAAGCCAAGACAGGCTTTCATATCCAGCTTTGTATTTTTAGTTTTAGCACATGTTCTTGACAGCAAAACCTGCAGGAACAGAATGAATCTGGGTATCTGGATCTGCCTGTCCTTCCTTCATGGTTGAGCTGTGCTTCTCAGTAAGACAGTTGGTTTTTTTTAATGCACAGTATTGAAAAATGTTAACATTCAGAGAAACTTAAATTATATAATCTTAAAATATGTGACAGCTAAGTAGTAAATGTTGACTTCTAGATTGTGACATTTGACTGTTTAAATGGTTTATCTTATTTTTATTATAAAGTCTGCCCAATAATTGCACAGCACTTGACAGTCTTTTATCTAAAAAGTTACAGGTAAAGATTAGGTTGAATGACTCCTTTTAGAAAAATATCTGAGCAGCAATGTTAAGTGTAAATGGAGACAAAAAGCTTGTTTTCTCTAACCTACTATTATTACTCTTGAAATATGTTGCAATCACATTTATTTTCAGAATGGACTGAAGCAGTATTGTTTTGTGGTGTTCTTACTGGAGTGCTTCTTTGTTGCTGCTTTCATCTTCCTCATAATTCCTGAGACAAAAAACAAATCTTTTCTGGAAATCAAAAAGGAATTTAACAAGCTTAATTTTGGAAGAAATGCCAGGAAAAAGGAAACGGAGCTTTATGAAAGAAGGCAACTCCAAGATGAATTTTTAAAGGTTTCTGCATAATTTCACAAATGCAACAGAACTTCAGTGAAAATTATGAACCTTGTAATAAGTGATCAAGTGGCTTATTAAATCTTCCTGTGTATTTAGAGGAAGTGTAACTAAAGGCAAGTTAGTACTGCTGTTAAAACATGTATTGCTGAAATACTATTAACAACATATTGTATTATCCACAGAAAACTTGATCTTTAGCTGTAACCTGGTGCTGTTGGGATGCAGAAATGCCAGGGAGGATGTTCAGTGAGGCCCTCTGGCAGATTTCTGCAGAGAATTCAGCAACTCTTGCATTTCAAAGCCCTGTGTTCAGTTGGGGTCACTGGGCATATCCAAATGCTCTGCTGAGTGTAATATTCTGAGTTCTTGTTAAAACCCATACAATAAATGATAGCTGATATTTGAAATATTCCAGTTTATATAGAAATAGTGGTATTTAGTTTCTGTTTTTCCAGTTATGTAACTTTGAAAGCCTTAAAGACATTCCTCATCCACTCCTACTACTGTACTGTGCAATGAAAGTACAGCACTCTCTGATTACTGGTATTTGTAATAAAAACTTTTATCCTGATAAAAGATTGCCTGGGGTTTCAATTTGGTATATTTTTCCCCTAACCTAGGATCTTAACATTTTAAACTATGCAACAGGGTGAAAATTCTTCTAGTTTTGGAGGTTAGTTCCCATCAGACTGAGATCTACATACCCAAAAGCATGAAGTAGCAGAGAGGACAGATGGCAGGAATTAAATACTTTTTACATTTACAGGGAGCCTGTAGGACATGCTGAATGAGCCTTCTGCCCCCTCTCCAGTATTTTTTTATGGACTCTTTTTCAACTTAAAATAAATTCTTCACATGTTAGGAAGTAAGAAATCTCACATCTGGTGTTTGTGTGCCTCTCTGTTATTTGTTTCCATACCTGCCACTGCCAGGACAGTGGCCCAACTTACCCAGTGCAACCTTTCCTGGCTGTAAGCATTTCCAAATGCCATCTGTTACCCAAGTGCTGCAGCAAGCATGGATTTCTTTTCTATTTATTTTCCTCCTCTCAGAATTAAAGCTTTTAATGGAAGTATAGGAAACAAACACCCTTGATCTGATTTTGCTAATAAAACCATTTGTTTAATTGAAAATAACACTAACTTTTAATAGCTAAGAAGGCAACATCAGGAAGGGATCTTCTTGGCCTTTAATTTATCTTCTAAGTTGGCAAAATACTTCATTTTTCCTAGCAGCTTCTTGGCTTCTTGAAGATCATCTGAAATGAAATAAAACATTACTGGTTTACAGAAGGAAAGGTGAATTTGCATTTTCAAAATGAATCTCAAGATTGCAGTGACAGCACCTGTTTTAGTACCAAGAGTTGTGACCTGCAAGGACTCAGACTCTATTAAAACCATGCTGCCTATTGTTTTAACCCCAGTTGGTTTGGGAACATCTCAACTCAAATGTTCCACAAAACCTGTAACAATGAACAATTTGGAAAAGAAATGTGGATGAATGCCCTTCAATGACTCCTGTAAAATGGCTGCAGTATTGATCTACCCACTAGGCAAGACAAATGTTTTTGTTTAAAATGTGTATAAATAGACCAACTGACATAACTGAAAAATGCAAATAGGAGGAGTCTGGTCTGGACAGTGCCAATTCCAAAACTCATATTGAAACAATTGTTGCTCAAGGGGAGGGTGGTTTATGACCTCCAGACAAAGGCAACACAATCCTTCTCATGGCACAGAGTAACAGAATGTAACTCCTCATGGGCAGGGACAGCCAGCACCACTGTGATGTTTGCAGTTACACACACCCCGACCAAAGTGCAGCATTCTGGACCTGGCACACAAACACAAAGGTTTTTTCCCAGCTTCAGAAGCTCAGGAAAGGTTCAAGCCTGTGCCTATCCACTGGCTGTAGAATAAAGTTACACTGATTATTGCACAGCAAGTCCCCAAAACGTTATGCTGAACAGGCCTTTACTTGCCACACAGCAGCTGTGGCTTTCACTGCAAAGAAAGCACTCACTGCTCTGCTGCAGCTGCAGGACTGCAGAACAACACCCCCCAAATTCGAGTGTGAAACCTCAGAACATGTCTAAGATCAGGACTGTCCTTCCCAGCATTCTGGGAAACACACAAACAATTTCTTAGCATCTACATTCCCACTGAAAATGATATTTAGATGCAAGATGAATGGAACTTTTGTACTGGATTTTGCTTTTAATGTGAGGTCCTGAATTTCCCAAATCAGCAGGAATGTCAGTTTAGAAGTACTTATTCTAAATACCTAACAAAGAACCCTTGTCAATGCAGTATTTCTATTCCATAGCTCAGGAAATATTTGCCAGTAAGAAAATGTGGAGTTTTAAGCATTTGACAGGTACGTATGGCAGCTAAAAACTTCATAAAATCAGGTACCTCTTTCAAAAGCTGCAGTCACCTCTCTGGTCAGTTCTTCTTGTTTAACTGCAAAACAAATGATTTCATTTACTTTTTGTTATACTTAGGATATTTGATACCACTACATTCTGACTGCCTGTGGTGGGAAAGTTCATTACTAGTTTCAGCCTTCGGGAGCCAAGCGAGTTTTTCATTATAATGCTGTCAATGTTGTTTTAATTCTCATTTCAAACATGTATTTCTTTATTTAAACAAGTATACTGAGACAGCAATTCCAATGCACACCAGTGGTCACTAATTTCCCAGCAATCTAACTTATTTTTGGTGCATCAGTTTATCCTGCTACAGTTGACTTTCTCCTGTGCTACTCAGTTTTTTTTTCCTAGTTATTGTAATTGCTTTTAGCACATAGCTGTTATTGAAAAAACTTAAATATATCAGTAAACCAAATGTTTTTGGTATCACCAACAATATAAAAAGAAAGTTGCTTGTGTAAAGGGAATAACCACTTAATATAATGGCTGCCAGATGAAGAAGGTGAAAGAACTACAATGCCTTTATAAATAACATTATTTAGTGTGGTCAGACAAGCATTTTAATCAACTTCATTCTGACAGTTTTTTTTTTTGAACAATTGACTAACCTGATGAAGGTTGAGTAAATTCCTTTTTATTGTCTATATAAATTTATTTTGACATCAGAATAGGTTCTGTTATACAAATGTATCACATCAAGACAGATGTGATGCATAAATAGGTAAAGACAACATTGGAAAAGAGGTGAAAAGGGCAAAAGCTCCTGCATTGAGTCAATTCCAGACTAACACAAATTGAAGACATTACAAGAAATATACCAACACAGTTTAAAGCTTTCACACTCATGTATTACACAAGATTCAGTATGCTAGTTCTGAACAAATTCCTCAAGTCATAACCTACCTTTAATTGAAGTTTCAACTTCTTCAAGGTTATCCTTGTTTTTGGACTCTGCTAATTTCTCATTAATTTCCATGATTTCCATAAGGAACGCTGAGTCTCCATCACAGTCTGTCTCTTTTGCTGGCTCCACTCCACTCAGCTCCAGCTGGCAGAGGAAATGGGAATTTGAAAATAAATATTCCCACATCCATTCCTATGGAAATTATTTTCTTTAATATTAAGTCTCTCAGTGGGGCATACTCAGATTCATATTTGATAAACCTACAGTGCTTTGAGTCACTCTGAAAATTAACTCCATACATAGGCTGACCATAAACCAAAAAAACCATAAAAAAGGCTGCCATGGGCCAGACTGAAATTCTGAATGAGCAGCCATAGCCAAACACCACGTGTGATGTGAAATTACTATAAGATGAGTAATAAATGAGATAATATGCTGATTAATTTGTGGACAAACTTGGTTCTGGTCTCCCTTTAATCTCTGGTGATCCTCTTCAGGGGAATTAGCACAAATTAGCACATTAAGGACTGAATCGAGGGTGGGATCCCTACCAGCCCCAGGGTGAGTCACAGAACACTGCAATACCTAACGGGGACCTTACTAGATAGAGGCCTCGGCTCAGAGGGTTCAGCAGAGTCTGGTAGGCCTTGTTGATCAGGGAAGAGTGTTGCTCAGAGTAGTACTGCTCTTTCTGCAAACGGATGGCAAATAATGGAAACTAATTACAAGTGGCGAAATACGCTTTGTTACATGCGGAACAGCAGCGTCCCCACAGCAGTCCGTGTGTGAAACGGAGGAGGCTCCGTGGACCTGGCAGCTGTGGCACTGCGCTCAGCTAAGGCCTGACGAACCGCAGCGGCCCCGCATCGTCCGCCTCCTCCGCAAATCCACGGCAGAGCCTCTCTGAGCACCGAAACACAAACACAGGCGAATCCCCTCACTCCCCGAGCGGGAGAGACGTGGGGACTCCACACTGCGACCCCGCCACGCAGCCGAAGGCTAAAGGCGAGCTCGTCCGGCGCTCACCGAGCCCCCCGGGCCCCTCCCGGCCCGGCTCCCCCGCCCGGCCCGGGGCTCACCGGCGGCCTCTTGCCGAAGCGGTCGGGGTGCACGGCGCGCTGCAGGCTCCGGAACCGCCGCTGCAGCTGCCCCGGGTCGATGCGGAAGGAGCGGTCGCTGCAGGACACAGGGCGGGTGAGACCCGCGGCCGGCCGGGCTCGCGGCCGCCCCGCCCACACTCACCAGTCCATCAGGCGGAAAAGGTCAGGCCGCGGCGCCGGCGGCTGCAGAGCCTGGCAGCCGGGGCAGAAGTGGGGCGGCCCATCGCTGCTGGGGAGCGGAGCGCCGCAGCTCCAGCACGGCGGCCCCGGGGCGCGGCCCAGCGCGGCCCCACGGAGCGCCAGGCGCGCCCACCCGAGCCGCGCCCGCAGCACCGCCCGCATCGCGCCCCGCTCCCGGCGGCCCCCGCGCGGGCCGCCCGCTCATTGGCTGCGCTCGGGGCGCGCGCGCGGCGCGCACGGCGGCCCTGGCCCGACGGCGCGAGCCCCGCGAGCCGTGAGTTCGGGTCCCGCTCCGGCCCTGCCCCGCTCCCCGCCCCGCGCTCCTCTCCCGGCCCGGTGCCGCCGCGGGCTGCGAGCCCCGCTTCTCCCGGGACACACACGCCGGGCGCGGGGCCGCAGTGCTCCGTGGGGACGGCGGTGCCGCTGGTGCTGGTGCCGGTGTCGGTGTCGGTCCGGGGCAGCAGAGCTCCGGCGGGCAGGGCCGCACGGTGCGAAGCGGCCGCTGGGGCCCGGCTCCGCCGTCTGAGCGTTCAGAGGGAGGGTCAGGTTGGACACGAGGGAAAGCGCTGGTATGGAAAGGGCTGCACGGGTCAGAGGTGGGGTCGCCATCCCTAGAGGGTCCCGCAGCCCTGTGGGTGTGGAGCAGGGGACAGGGGCACGGTGGCATTGGCAGTGCGGGGGGACTCGGTGGCCTCTGTGTTTTCCAGCCCGAATGGCTCCGTGATTCTGTTCTGTCTGCGGGCGGAGCTCTGGGCCTCGCCTGTGTTTGTAAACACCCGTAAGGAACGGGACTTGGGTGAGGGAACTTGGGAGCTGTCGTGGTTTTATGGCTTGTAATGAAATGTAGCAAAGCGGTAAGGAGAAGTATACATTAAACTGTATGGCAAGAGCTAAAAACCCCATAAACAGGTGGTAAGGTTGGAAGGTTCGTGAGCACTGCTGTGCTGGAGGAAGCTGGCTAGAGGGGGGCCTGGGGTAGCATTTAAGTAAAGAAGGAGGCACCGCAGGCTGTGAATTTCCGGGCTGTTTCCTGCATTGAGTCAGTGTGAAAATTAACCGGCAGCTGCCGGGGCAGTGTCTGAATCTGGCAAGGTTTTGTACACTTATTATGTACAGGTGTGATAATCTCTCGGAGGCTTTCCAGAAAACCTATGTGATTTTACAGTTCTTACTCCTTTCGGTTTTCTCTTTGTGTCGGGGACCAGCCGTGGTCCCTTGCTCGGTGCGGGGATGCTCTGTCAGAGCGCAGCCGATGCCTGCAATCCGGGAATTAATCAGGGCTAGTTCTGCTTTAGAACCAGCAGAGGCCGCCCCTCGTTGCCTTTTAAAAGGAAAACCATCCTGGTTTGCACACTTCCTGGGAATTTACGTATAACCCAGACATGCACGCTTTGGTTGTAAGTTTTACTTCTTTGAGGCTGAGAATGGACTTGGACATTAATAGTGCAGTGTGTGAGTGTTTGCCAGTTTTACTTTGCTGTAGTAATTGTGGTTTTTCAACATTCTCTTTTAAAGCCAACATGTCTCGAGAGACTGGAAGTGAAGCACAGCAGTCTCAGAGCGCCCAGCAGCCTCAGAGTGGTACCAGTTCTTCCAGTGGCTCACAGAGCACCAGTCAGTCTTCCTTAAGTTCTGGGACTCTCAGTTCCTTGGACACGGTTCCCACTCAGGAGCTTCCCTCCATCCCTGAGGACCAGGAGTCTGAAGAGCTGGTTCCTCAGCCTTGGGGCCGACTCTTTGCACTTGGAAAAGGTTTCAGCAACTGTGGTAGGTGCATACTGTAATAAATCTCTTGGTTTCTTTGTAGGATCTCAGAAAAGTTCTGAGCAGCTTGCTGAAGAGCAGTGTCTTTTCATTTTCAAGTTAGGTACAAGCAAATTTAGGTATGGAACTTTTTGCTATAATGTTTTATTCCATACTACATCCCAGTGTTTACACTGAGTTCTCAGATACACAGCTGCCATAGACTTACAGAAATTCTGGAGTGTTCATATTCTTTGTTACATGCTTAATTAAAAAAATTATAATTTATTTTATTTAGTTATATGTCTCTATATTGCTGACAGTGAACTAAAAATACCACTGCTGAAGAGGGTAACATTATTAAAGCATTTGACAAGGTGTGGTGCTTTGTATGAGTTAAGACAAACTTGATTCTATGGGAAGAATCTTGTCTCTGTTATCCTATCCATTGCCATTTGGGGTCATTCTGTGGTGAATGTTATATTATTCACATGTGTCTATGTCTATAACACATAGTTATTAACTTCCTGCAACATCCTCTCTCTCTCTGCTGTACCTTCCCCTCCTCTGCAGACTGTGTCAATGAGGAGTACTGGTTTGGGAGGGACAAAAGCTGTGATTACAGTTTTTCTAAGCTGGGATTGTCTGAGACTGGCTTCTACCAAAACTATAGCAAGAAGCACTTCCGAATTTTCAGGGTAAGTGCTAAAAATATTAACTCTGTCTATTTTGGCGTAATTCAGAAGGACACTTTGGGGCAGAAATCCTAAAGAAATCAGAGTATCTTCAGGGTTGACTCCTTTAATGTGACTTTTGGCAATACCCCATTCATATGGCTTATGAAATAAACTTAGTCTCATTTCTTGAGTCAACAATAGTAAATTTTTAGTGTATCATGTCTTTATTGTAAAGTCATTTGTTCTTTACTGTCATCTTCCCCATTTTTTTCTCTTTGAGGAAATGGGTCCAAGAAATTCCTATGTTGCCTACATTGAAGACCACAGTGCAAATGGGACATTTGTTAATAGAGAGCTCATTGGAAGAGGGAGGAGGCTTCCACTGACACACAACTCTGAAATTGCATTGTCTGTACAGACCAATAAGGGTAAAATGTGCTTTAACTTTAGTAGATTTTTCATGTATTGACCAAGAGGTTGTTTCTGCATTGATTTGAGTCTGTTTCTTGGGAGCTGAGCTGCTTTGTGAGCACATCTCATTAATAGGTGTTTTAGTACTCACATAAAAATTATCCGTGTCAACCCTAGGAAAAAATCTGAAAAAGAAAACTTTAAAGAAATCTGTATCGGGCAGCACCTTACTAGAGTATAAATTTTATAGGTTTTTTCCTGTTTTTGAAACCCTTTTAGGCTTCAGTAGCTGTGCATATGATGGTGGGAACAGGGGAAACAGGCTATTCAAGAAAAGTTGAAAAAAAAAACCCCAGATACCTAACCTGCATAATACCTGCATAGTAAATAGAAAATCCTCTTAAAAATAAACAAGGCTGGGCTTTTGTTTCTTTGTCTTTGATTTTCCACTAAGATGCTGACTTCTTGATTATTACTTCTCTGATCTTTGCTGGAACATTGAAATTTTTGCTCCTTTTGTCCTTAAATGTAATTAATTACTTAAAGACTGTTGTGAATTTAATCCCAAAATGTAATTTTTTAGCAATAAGATCACCTTGCTAATCCATAGCTGGTATAATTTATAGCATATATTTAGTTTTTCCTCTAGCAGGCAGTATTTTCTCAGTTATATTGTTGACTATAAAAGCTCACAAAACATAGCTGTTTGTTATAATAAAAAATTTAAACCTAATAATAGGAAAATTATGTCCACTTGTCTTCCCAGTGTTTGTATTTTCTGATCTTACGGTGGATGATCAGATGATGTTTCCTAAAGAATTCAGAGAGAAATACATTATGTCAAAGACTTTGGGAAGGTAAGCATCCTTATTCAGAAAGTTAGAAAGCAGCCAGCTCCAAATTATGCTTTCATTTGCCTGCACTTGTTACACAGATTTTTGACAGAGCTGTGCTCTTGTTGTAGTGGTGCCTGTGGAGAAGTCAAACTGGCATTTGAGAAGAGCACCTGTAACAAAGTTGCAGTGAAAATCATCAATAAACGGAAGTTTGTGGCAAGTGGCCTGAGTGAAGAAGTAAGTATTTTTGACTGTCTGTCTGTCTTGGCCACCTTGCAGTGGTCCTGGAATATTTGCTGACTTCTCAGACTCCTCAGCTATCTTTAAATGAGGATTTTCTTACTTAATGTCTTCAGTATTTCATTTTAAAATGCTTTTTGAACTTGTATATTGCACAAAATTCTTGTTTTTATTCTTTGACCACATGCCATTATTTTCATCATTTAGTGCTGTTAATGGGATGTGTACAATGGGTGGAGTGGAGTCTTGCAGGGTTTGGTTTATGTCCTAAAATGCATCAGATAGACACAAGATAACCAGCACAGTCTTGACCATAAATGTACCAACAAAGATAATTTTGTTGAATGCTTCATTGTAATACATTTTAAGAAAATTGTATGAAGCCTTTAGGGAAGGTCTAATGGCAAAACCAGAATTTGGAGAAGTACAAAGACAACTGGCTCAAGATGCTGTTGAGAATTATAAATACTGATGCATGGCATTCTACAAAACAGGCACAGGAGTATATCTGGAGTGTATGGGTTAAGTTGTGTGTTCCAAGATGATTGATTTGGATTGGAAGAAGAGCAAAAAAATCCCTGCTGAGCTGATTTCATTAGTTGAGCCTAAGCCACGGGTTAGAGAATCTGTTTATGTTAACTTGCAAAATAGTAGCATGTAATTTTAGGTTGGCCCATCTGCAAAGCATCTTGGAGGGAGAAAAGCTGTTTAAATACAAGTATATAAGCAAAAAGAATTTTATTTTTTTTAATTTGGAAGCTAGTTGGGGATTTCTAACCTGCAGTGAAATTTCATGTCTGGAGCAATATCTTGCTCCAGATAGTGACAGCACTCTGTTTATTTAATTCACTGAAGGTATCTGATAATTTTATGAAAAAAATTGTACGTTATGGTCACTTAGAGTAGCAAAAGGCACGGAATTATGTCTTTCCTGGTACTGTCTCTTATTTCTCATATGTCTTATTCCAGAACAGCTCTGTCTTACCCAATATGGTATTTGATTCTTTTAATAGAACCCAGGTTTAAATATCAATACAGAAATTGAAATTTTGAAGAAAATAGATCATGTGAGTATTACTGTACATTTTTATTATTTTTTGCTCTCTCCTGTATGTACTTGTTTAGTTTACTGACCTTAGTGTATTAATGAAAGAGCAATTTTATCCATTCAGAAATGTGTTAAAGGAGATATATAATTTCCCTTGTAAATTATTGAATGGGTCTTTTTTTATTCTTTTAAGTGTATTATATCCTAGCAGATTTGAGATTTTAAAGCTTTGGATAACTTAGATATAAATTTGAGAAGAAACATCACAGGAGAAGTTTTAACTGCATGCAGAAATTTTTATTTGATGTAAATTTTTGTAAATGCTGCAAATTGACTAAATGTAAAGACTAGTTTTCACTGGCAATTTATTGAATTTGTATCCTCTCTTTCCTCTCCATGTAAAATAGATAAAATGTTGAGGGTGTGGTCTGGGGTGCTTGCAAGTCCCTTGTGTTAAGTGTCAGCTTAAGTGACCTGGTTTGAAATACTGAAATAAGAACTTTAGGATTAATTTTTACAAATTATTCTATTTTGTGTGTCTCTGTTTGTGTTTCCTTTTCTGTTAGCCTTGCTTAATCAAGATTAAAAACTTCTTTGAAGCAGACGATTACTACATTGTTTTGGAACTGTAAGTAACCTGTTTGAAAGTAAATGCATAACATGAAATGCTTTTTTGATAACCACAATGAACTGTGGAGGTTTTGCTTTTCTTATTTTGTTTTCCTTTTGCTGGCCTCTACTTTCCTCTAAAACCTTTGTAAGATTAGGAGCTAGGATAACCAGGAGAAATCATCTTTTATTCTTTGTAGGCACTCAGGGCTTGGGTACTGTTTGCTCTGCTGCTGTTGTGGATTGCTGCTTTTATTTTTTTATTTTTGAGCTCATAAGAGGGGGCTGATCAAAAATCATGTAACAACTGCCAGTGAAGACTCAAGAAATTGACCTTAACTCAGCCATGCATGTGCTGTGTTTAGGATGTTGCTCACTCATTTTCAGAAATATATTCTTTCCCTGTAGCCAGAATAGCCAAATGTTTTGGTCTTAGTCTTGTCTAATGAGATGAATCTTTTGGAAGTTATATGTTGGTTTGTTAGCCTGCATTTGTTTTAGGATGGAAGGAGGAGAATTGTATGACAGAGTGTCAAGGCCAATCAAGATGAAAGAAGAAATCTGCAAGTTGTACTTTTATCAGATGCTGCTGGCAGTAAAGGTACATCATTGTGAATTCTACCCAAAAAAAGTCACTAAGATGAGTTTTTCTGTCACTTGTCATTGCTGAAACCCATGTAAGCAATCAGCACAGTGTTCTGAACAAGTTGGTTTAACAAGAGAGAGACAGAAAAGCAGAATTCCTACAAAGGTGACACAGAACGTGGGTCTGCACACTGTGCTTGCATGAGATTTGGCATTTGAAGCATAATGATTTCTAAGGTGCTTTTTTTGTTTCTTTGTGATGGTGTTTTGGTGTGGGTTTTTTTTGTTTTGTTTTGTTTTCATTTTGCTTTGTTTTTTTAAGGGACAGTCCCATGTTAGGAAGCTTTAAATGTTTGCCCTCCTCTTACACAGCCATTTCAGTTATCCTGCCATTGCCATGAGAAAAAATGGAAAGCTTACATTTTAAAATAAGTTAATAATCTGTTTTTCCTTAATTACCCATCTGTATGTATTTAGTATCTTCATGACAATGGAATTATACACCGAGATCTAAAGCCAGAAAATGTGCTACTTTCATCTACTGAAGAAACATGTCTTGTAAAGGTAAGGAAAACTACATTTCTTGTTAATGGAGAAATTTGGGAGTGTTCCTTCACATTCTTCTTGATATTTCATTAAACACAGCCAAAAAGATATTATGGAATTATTCATACAAACCATGAAGTAACTTAAAACATAGACCTTTTTTTTAATAATTGTAATTTTACTTTTATGGATATTTCAACCCATACACTACATATCTATTTTCAAATGTCAATTATTTTTTCCCCAATGAAATCTAAATTCTTGAATTACAGACAGCATTCCCACAAATGTCCAGGCTGTGTGGTGACAGTGATTTTTTTTTTTGTTGTTCTTTTGGGTTTTTTTTGGGGGGGGAATTAGGGTTGTATATTTTCTTTTGTGTTGAGAAAGCATTGACTATATTTGCATGCTGAAATGCTTATTTTTCACAAAAACTCTTCTAATAGGCTACAATACCTTTAATCTGTAGTTGTCCATTTATATCCATATCTTAGAGTATTTTTGCTAGTGTAAAGTGTGATCCTTTGTCATATTTCTCCCTCTTCCTCCTCCCCCATTCTCACTTAATAATGTTTGGGGTGACTTTTATTCATAGTCATGTACTGGAACTGGCTTGGAAGGAAGAAACTTAATGGTACCTCCTGATGTATGTCTACAATATGATGTGTTCTAGTACACTCCATCCTAATATGTAATGTGGTGTTACCATTTTTAAATGCAAGATTACAGATTTTGGACAATCCAAGATTCTTGGAGAAGCTTCTCTTATGAAAACATTATGTGGTACTCCCATGTATCTTGCTCCTGAGGTTCTAAATTCACTTGGGACTGCTGGATACAGCCGAGCTGTGGACTGCTGGAGTTTAGGAGTTATTCTTTTTGTATGGTAAGATATTGTGGAGATGTACCTGCACTGGGCAGTCTTTGACATACATGGCTTGAGACTTGGCAACTTCAGTGTCTATATGAGGAAGTGAAAGTTTAAAAGTCTACAAGTATAAAAACACTACCATAGCAGATGCCTTAAAATGTGTGATGTCAATGTTTCATTTGGTATGAGAAGTTCAGTGCTATTTAACTTCTTTTCTTTTATACAGCTTGTGTGGATATCCACCATTCAATGAGCAAAACACTCAGCTCTCTCTGAGGGATCAAATCACTCGTGGAAAATACACATTTATTCCAAAAGAGTGGAAGCATGTGTCAGACATGGGTATGACTCCAGCACAGTGGGTATCTACCACTAATATCTAGTGGTAATATCTACCACTAATATCTAAATCTACCTCTTTTCTTGTAGTTTTTCTTTTCCTTTATCCTCCTTTCAGCTGCATGGCTGAAACATATTAACTGTGTGTTAATATGTTTAATTTTTAAGCTAATATATTAAATATATTTTTTGAAGTTCATAGTTGAAGCATTAAAAAGAGAACATACTTTATTATTGAAGAGATTTCTTAGTAGTATTTAGCATAATTAACCACACAAGTATAGAGTTTGTGGGCACATACATCTATTTCTCCTCTTTTCACTTTCTCTTCTGACTTTATCAAGCTGGTCTACAGACTTTGCCTAAAGATTCTTCAAGTGTTGAACCAAAAATACCAGGAATTTAAGGAATACGAGTTAGAATTCTAAAAACCAAACGTTCCAAGAGAGTCCTTTCATGGTGCTAGTCTTTGAGCTGAAAGAGTCAGTCACATTTGAGGAATCATCTGTTATGTTTGGCCCACTGTAAGTGAAGTAGTCTGTGAAACTGAGTTTTTGCATAGCAAACTAAAATGATAATTACTGTCTGTGTGCTTTTAGTTTTTCAGGACATTTTATATGCACAAAATAATTGTAGGATTTACCTTGGACACTTCTTTGTATGTGCAGAGGAGTTTCTAATAAATTATGTGGTCATCCTTTGTCTAATAAACTTATCAAATGTAATGCCTTCCTGGATAGGCTGGAGCTTATTCAATAATAAATCAGACATTCACGAGAATGTACAATCTTAACATAATTTCCGTAGTCCTACTTGTATGTATTCAGAATAATCTGATCAAATGAAAAGTAAATCTTGCTGAAATTCCTTTATGGGAGATTTGGAGTAATAAAATACAACATAAATGCCATATTTTTCACAGTGTCTACTAAGCAGCTTCCTAAGAAGATGAAACTTTATGTTAAGCATACATGTGTATGTCCTGTCTCTTCTCTCCCACTTTCCCAGATGGATAATCTGCTTTCTAAGACACTGTAAACCAGGATAAATTAAGCTGTCTTTGCTTTTCCACAGAAATACTGAAGCTTTTAGGGAAATGCTGAGCCTCCTGTGCATGCTCAGAACATAAACTGTGTATATGCTAAATATATCTCTGGGTAATTCTGGTATCCTGAGAATTGCTGAGTTCTGTATATGTGAAAGATGGTTGCAGTCTGCAGCCCTTCCCTGCACTTGTGTGCATTGCTCTGAAGGGGTGTAAGGCACATTGTCACACAGAGTTTTGGTGTAGGCATATTTCAGGCAATGATTGTATTGATCACAGGCCAACCAGCTCATTTTATTGTCTTAGCTCTGGATCTGGTGAAGAAGCTGCTAGTGGTGGATCCAAGCAAACGTCTTACCACAGAGGAGGCCTTAGAGCATCCTTGGCTGCAGGTAGGAATTGGGTTTTAAGTGAAAGCTGAGTTGTTTGAGGGATAACTTGTTCATATCTTGTGTTTTCAAAGATTTAGTCCCTGTAGAGACTGCAAAAGCAGCATGGAGTAGTCTCCTGAGTACCTTCTGTCAGTACAATAAGCAGCTTCTGCATCCCTTCTGAGACACCTCTTCCCAGAACTCTTTCACATGTGAGATCAAGATGTGTTTTTTAGAGCCCAGGTCTGACTGTGGTTCTGGTAGGATGGACCTCTCCTTCTGAGCATTGGAACAGAGCCCCATCTCCTCAGATGTTTGTATGGGCAGGCAGTGCAGTTTGTTTCTGGCAAGCATCCAATACTAGTTTGTTTTTACTCTGCTCTGCAGGAATTAATGTCCCTGGTTTGGGAACTCTCTGAGTAGGAAGTGATGGTTTCCCTGCCTCCTGTTACAGTCTAGGTTTGAGAGGGATAGTCTTTAGGTGGTCTTTTCTTAATTTTGGCAGAGGTACCCACTCAACCTATGAGCTTTATTGCATATTTTTGCTTGAAGAGGCTGAAAAATCTCACCCAACCTACATCTGAGCCATGCAACAGGTTCTGTTTATTCACACCAAGCACAAGGCTATTCCTGTTCCCCTGCTGGGAACAGCAGAATTTCAGATGCTTTGGTAAAGAGCATAAGAAATGGGGGAAGCAAGGGAGTATCCCTCAGTGCTCAACAGCTGATGGTGTTCTGAGACAAAAAAACATGTGTGGATTACTCTTTAAAGTAATTAACTTGTCTTGATTATGCTCCTGGGCATCAGGAAGCATTTCCTGACATTCATGGGTTTTAGTAACTGTAGTTTTGTGTGTAACATATACAGTGAGTTAATCAGATATAGATTCTAACATTTGAATTACAAATCTGAGCAGAAAAATTACTCAGAAATATGCAACACTGATTTTAAAAATTGCTGATATGGATAAGGGGGAAGGGGAAATAGATGACTGATTTAGATGAGCTAAAGTATATATATTCAAGTTGTTATTAACTTGATTATATTTTCCATGTAAGGATATCTCTTACTGTTAAGTTTAATTTTGAAGACAGGACAGAAGGTTCCAGAAAACATCACAGCCATAAATCCAGATGTCATCTATCACTCAGCTGCTGTTCTTTGAGCTGTTTCCCTGCAGGGGCTGTTATTAAGAGTGCCAGGTGCTCATAGGTGATGTACACTGCCTGCTTGGAAGGCCAGCATGCTCAGCTTAGGGTATCACACATCTCATAGCACCCAAAGAGCTCCCCAGTCCTGTTCCTGTGAGCAGTGAGGAGTTACTGGCTCCTCTCTCCCTCTTGTGTTGTCTGGAAGTATCGACTTAACAAGTCAGCAGGAGAAACTCCATTGTCTCTGTGCCCAGCTGATGCCTGTTAGACCTCTGGTCGTTTTGGGGGCACTAGGAAATTTCTAAATTTTTTACTAGAAATAAGCATGTTCTGCAGATTTATTTAAACTAGTAGTGCTTTCAAATTAGTGTTTTCAAGACAAGTTGTTTACTCCATTCTTTGCTCAAATCTAGAACTTTAAAACTTGTTGAGCTGTGTAAACCTAAGTACTGCTCAGTGGAAATGTCTTCTTACCTGTATTTACTTAATAAAACATTTTCTAAAGGCATATAAACAATTATTGCTGTTTCTGCCTCTGAAATCTTCACTGAAGTCTTTTGAATGGTACAAGATTAGTTTGGTTGCATGCTGAAGAAAAACCATAGGTCTTTGTTACATCAATGGAAAAATATTTCTTACCTTATCCATCAATTCAAATGTAGCCACAATCAAATCAGGTGAACTGGAAAAAAAACCAAGTCAAAATTCTATATAAAATTAAATGGATATTTGAGTAAAATCCTTTTTGTAGCACTTAGGAATAGTTAAATAAAAAAAGGAGACACTGCAATACTCCATTGCCTTCACCTAAAAAACTCAGTTAAAACAGCTGAAACCCTTAGGACCTCAATGATCTTTAATTGTCTCTAGCACTGAATGTCTCATTCACTTCTCTTTGATTTTCCCAATCTTTGCTTTCCCCTTAAATATTCTATATTCTACTTAGATGCTGGGATTTTTTGCAGGATGAGGATATGAAAACTACATTTGAACAGCTACTTGCTCAGACACGTACCAATATGAGCCCACCAGAAACATCAAAAATGGTATGTGCTGTCGATATTTGAAGATTCATATTTGATGCACAGAGAAACTAGATTTTGAAGTAATCTTTAATAAGAAAATCAGTTAATTTTGAGACTTTAGAGAAATGTACCCTTGGGCTGTATGTGGCAGCCTGCTGGTTAGTTCTGTTTCCTGAACAATGGATTTCCATGTTTTGTCAACACTTTGTGTTGACAAGATGTTTAAATGTACAGAAAAGTGTTTAAATGTATAGAAACACTTGCTAGGCTTCAAAGGATTATTCCTATCTTTAGAATAAAATTGTTGGATGTATTTTTTTTAATGGATTCAAGTCACTAATGTTTAGTATTGAAGTAAAAATTCTCCTGCTGGTGCAAGGTTAGGACAGCATTGTGCCATTCATCACCAGATGCTAATTAGAAAAATTGTAAACAGTGGCTGTTTCAAGCTGGGAGCAATGTCTTAGATGAGAACCATCAAATATCATTAGATGGATCTTGGGAGAGAAACATGGGTTAGTTTTTGGTCACACTGTCCAACACCTCTGGTTCTGGAGCAAGCAGAAAGTCAGGTTCTGCCTTACCTGGTTTCCTGGAGCCATCCTCCTGTGTTTTTCTTCCAGCCAACCACAACAAGAAAGCGTCCCCATGACAATGAGGAAGACAATGGCTCTGCTAAACGTGCTGTTCCTTCTACCTCCTATCAGAAAATGAGGTGAAAAGCAAGAGAAAATGGCTTTGTTAATGACAGCTTTTTTATGGAGAGCGGAATTTTTTATTAAGAAAAATCTTAATAATGGAATAAACTGTTGAAGATGTATAATTTTCAAATAAAAGTAACTTTGTAAGACTGAAGTGACTGCTGTGAATGCATGAGAATCTGCACAATTAATCATGTTCTAGTCCATCCAGCTGTCTGACTCGAGGAAAGTATCAGAAAAACTCCTGAACTAAGTTACTAACACTTTTTTAGGCTAGCTTCATCCCCACCTACATTCTCTGTTTCTTCTTTTCCAATTTCTAGGTTAGGCATGGAAATAATGCTTAGTCCTAAGAGATGAAGAAGGAATACTAAACTTGCTGGGTTTTTGCCTGAGACACAGCATTACCTGACACAATGCTGCCCACAGACTTCTGAGGACACTCAGACTATTCAGTTGAGATGTAAAACTTCTGATGGACCTTGAGGTGCTCTGGGCTTCAGGTAAAGCTCCCCAGTAAATGCTGGACTGGCAGAATCACAGCATTGTGCACTGGGATGGGGCTGGTTGGTTTCCAAAGCAACAATTACCATCTGCATGGTGCTTTAACACGTGTGTACCATGTTTATTTCCCAGAGGAGGGATGAGTAAGAGGAAACATGATAACAAGAGATGAAGATGTATAAATTCCTGTCAGGGAAGTACTAGGAATTGGACTGAGAGGAAAAACTTGCTTGCCTGTTAGGTGAAGATTCTGAACTGTGTGCCTCTTATTAAAGGATTACTGATTATTATCATTACTGACTGAGAGAACAGTTTAGTAACTCTGTTCAACATGCATCTTCTGGTTAAAGGCATCTACTCTAAGATTGTTGATTTGTAAAGAATAAAACCTAATGCATTATGGAATAAACCCATGTCAGGTAGGAATTAAGATATTCATGATTCACTTTCCTGTGTGTGCCCATTGCAGAGATCTTGTGTGTTTTGATATATTTGATATTAACCAATGTTAATGATAAAATGCTGATTCTTGTACATTGATACCTTTCTTAATGGATTGGATGGAGAAACATCCGTGGGCATCTGGATGGAAACAAAACCACTGATTCCAGTCCACTCCAGATGCAGTGGGGTGATGGAACAAAGGTGTGTGTCTATCTTTGGGTGCAAATCTGTTGGTGGCACATCCTCAGGGAGTTCTGGTGCTTGCTGTAGCTCATTTGAAGTAGAAGGGAACACTCAGCTGCCATTTACTACATAAAAGAATCACAGATGCAGTGTGTTTGGGCCAGATTTGTGTCCTGGTATACTGCAAAAGTTGATACCTTTGGGCTTTGGTTACCAGTCACTTTTAAAAGACCTGCATCATGGCTGATGAGAAGGTAATTCCCTAGCTCCGACTTACATTGTCAATTTGTTAATGGATAGAAAACTTCTATAATTTATTCTTCCATGATTTTTTACATCCCACAGTTGTTAGGTAATCAGTAACTGTTTTGTTTGGGTCCTTTCCCTGGGTCCTGACTAACACCTGCTTTCCAATGATGTCCTAAATTTGATCTCACTCATTTGAGGGCAGACCTTTGGGCTGCTGGCCATGTGTTCATCATTTGATTGCAGAAAGCTTTCTGAAGTTTCACAGTTTTTTCTGTGGAAGAGTAAGTTTCGCTAAGGTGAAGCGGCATCCAATTTTCACATAGGTAAGAAATTATTTATCACTTATCTGCAGCACAAGAGTCTTCAGCATATTGCATTTTGCCTGTTCATTTCAAGAGGCAGGATGGGTCACAGCAGTTGGAAGTTGGGTTAACCAAAGTGCTGAGGCTCGCTGTGCCTGGTCAGTGCGGTGTCATTAGTGACCAGCATCACCACCAGCATCACCACCTGCGGTCCGTGTGGGCCCTGCTTACTCTCGAGCTCCGGCTGCCGCTGCTTTTGGCCGCCGGTCCCCCACCCGTACGGCGACAGAGCCGTATCCTCCGTGAGGACGGAGCCCGTCCGTGTTGGCGGAAAGGCGAGCGCTGCTCCCGCCGGAGCCCGCAGAGGAGCGGCCGGGCCGGGGCAGCCCGGGCGGCAGCCGCAGGACGTCCGGCGCGGGCCCGGCGCCGTCGGGCGGGGGTGCCCGGGGTCCGGGCGGAGCCCAGCCCCGGGGCGGGGCCGGGGCACTGCGGGTCCCACTCAGCCGGGCCCGGAACGTGGCGCCGGGGGCCGGAGTGGGATCGGCCTGGCGGGGGCGGCGGCGGCCCCGGCCCCCTCAGGAGAAGGAGGAGGAGGAGGAGCAGCGCGATGGAGCAACAGGCGCCGCCGCCCCCGCCGGGGGCCGTGGCGGTGGGCCGGGCTCGGCGGGAGCAGGACGCGGAGCCTCCCCGGGTGAGTTGCCGCCGGACGAGCAGCGCTGGAGCGGCCGGGGAGGCGGCAAGGAGCCGCCGGGCCGGGCCGGACGCGGGCGGCGGGGGAAGCTGCGGGGCGCGGGCTGGCGGCTGTCCCGCCGCGGAGCGGGACGGGGCTCGGCGGGGGCGCAGGCCCGGTGGCCCGAGGCGCGGTGAGGGGCCGGGCGGCCGTGGGGCAGCTCCTACCGGAGCTCCGGGGCCGCCAGGCCGAGCGCTCGGCTCCCTTCGCCCTGGGCACGCTGGGGTGCCGCGAGTGACCCCGCTGCCTGGGGGTCCCGCCGCAGTCCCGGCCGGGTCCCGGCCGTGAGGAGCGGCGGAGGGCCCGGGCCCGGCCCCGGAGCGGGGACTGTGCGCCCCGAACGCCGCCGGCCGCCGCTAGCTGGAGCGGGACCCTCGCGAGCACAGAGCTCGGATGTCGGCATGGGCATTGTGCTCGCTCTGGCGCCCCCGTAAACAAACTCGAATCTCGTTGAAATGTGCAAAGTTTGGAGGTGAGCGTGTCAGGTGTACTTGGCAGCGCTGCAGAGCTCCTTACCCTGCTCCAGTGGTACAGAAAGTTCCTGTGAACTTGGTTATGAGGGCTTTGTCACTGGCAGAGCTTAGAAGCCGGAGATTGGATTCAGTCAGCGCGCCAGGGGTGACAGCAGATGTCACCGATTTGTCACCGATGTGGCTCTGCCCGTGCCTGAGCACGGAGTGGCGATCAGCGATGCTGCTCCGGGCAGCAGCTTGCGCTCCCCGAGCTCGGTGTTGCAGCCCCAGGGATGCCCTTGGCTGTCGCCAGTGAATTTAGAGTTGAAATCTAGAGAGCCCGGTGCCTGTGCCTTCTTGTCCTCCTCTTCTCTTCTGGAGTTGTTCATAATTTTAGTGCCTTTCCTTTTCCTTGGAGGTTTTCACAATCTTAGATAATATCTCTCCTGCGCTTTCTTCTGGTGTGGAACAAGAGCTCTTCAGGTGCTAATGGAGCCCTTTATAGGCTCTTTGAAATGGATATGTGGCAAATGGATAAATTCCTAAACGGATGACTGGATGTGCCTTGAACGTTGCCCTAACAGGTGTTCCTCGAGTGAGCGAGGTTACTGTTCATGCCTGGTTTTTGCTGGATTACTGGTCCATCACTCCCTTGTTGCTGCCTTTGGCTCATAGACAGATCAGAAGGAAAGGTCTGTTTCCTCACTGATAGTTTGTGATTTAATTTTATATTTATATATATAATCACCGTTAACAATAACTAGTTTTAAAAATTATGTATGAACCAAAAAGTACTGTTTAAATTTAACTATGGATTAATTACAATTACAATTATTAGCAACATGTTATTACAATTACAGTCGTAATTATTACAATTTTTAGCAATATGTAGGATGCCTTAAATTAGGGTGGATCTAACTGCTGTAGCAAGTGCAGATCTCTCTAAGCTCAGTATTGGAAGCTCACAAGTTTTTTCCATTTTTAAAAAATTTTTAAAGTAAAACCATTTTCTATAGAAAATTTTGTTTGAGCTCCAGTTAAGAAAAAAATCTGTTTCTTTCCTGTTGATAAGGTCTTATCATCCTGTGGTGGCTTAAGCCTCCAGTTCTGGTGGTCTTTCATTTCTTTCCACACTATTTCTGTTGAAATTCTGCTCTATTTAGGGGAAGGTTGGCAAGGTTTTGTATCTCTTCAGGAGTGTGGTGCAGCCTGGCTGAAGTGCTGGCTGCTGGGAGGTATCAGAGACACACTTCGTGTGCTTTATTTGTTCTTGGGCTCTCGTTGAAGCCAATTTCTATTGCAGAAAAACAGTAATACCCCAGAATATGCAGAGAAATCATAAAACCGTTTTACAGTTTAAAGTATAAGTTGTGTAGAAGTTTTCTTAGAAAGGGAAGCTTAGTTACAGATTTAAGGTGATTTTGGAAACCTGTATTTAGCCTAAGTTACTGTCACTCTTTTTTTTCAGAATCCATTAGGAATGCCAATTTTTCTGCTTGCCTCTTTTTGGTTTTTTTCCTCTTCCTGTTGCTTCAAGAAGTATCTTGAGCTATTTATATAATTTAATAAATAGAAACATTTTATATAAATTAAAATTATATAGATTAAATATAAAAATTCTACATATCATACTTACAGTATCTTTTTTAATATTATAAAGAATTTTTTTAAAAACACGTTTTAACTGTGGACTTGCCATCCAAGAGATCATCTGTATAAGGCATACTTATTTGCATTACATAGCATTAAATAAGAGGAATTAGATACAAATCAAAAAGCTTTGAGGTGTGACATTGGTGTTTTGATAAAACATTTGCTTTTGTACCACATTGTTTTCTTTCATCCTCTTGGAGCAGAATGTGGAATTGCTGTTGTCTTTTCTCATTCTTACTGGAATTCACTGGGAATCTGTTCCCTATGGCTGTTCAGACACATCTCTCAGTGTGTATGGGCACTTCTTGTATTTGATGGATGTTCCGTAGAGAGGATTAAGTTTAACAACCTTGATCAGTGAAGACAAAACTTCTTGTAAGAGAAGCTTTGCTGTATATTCAAGTTCCTGTTTGCTTTGGAGGTGGTTGGGAGTTAATTTCGTCTTGAAAAAGACCAAGGAAGGTTGTGTGTGTTTTAACACTCCACTTGCATGGCCTGCAGGGTTGAATCCTGAGCACCTTCTGCCAGAGGAGACTTTCTCACAAGTGAAGGAAATTTGTTGCTGAGTCTGATCTGAAGCAGATATTGTGGAAGCTTCTGTCTGACATGACACTAAGAGCTGATTTCTGCTGTCTTATGCTGGCTTGGAGAAGTAGTGTTGAGAAGCTCATGCCATCCTCTGATTTGTGAGAAATATAGGAGCTTCTAACTCAGACTTTCTCACTAAATCCTCTTCTGTACTTCATTAGAACCTTATTTGTTCTGCTGCACTAAGAAACTTCTTCTTTAGCATTGGTTTAGAACATGCAAACACCTTCTGTAGCAAAATGTTAGGCAGCCCAAAAATGTGCATTACCATCACCTTCCACTGTGTTAACAGGAGAGGAGCAGTGGTGAGCAGTGGAAAGTGGGGATGACTTTGTAATGAGTACTTTTTGTGAGTTGGTACCATAATCATAATCTTTTTTTATTTGTGGTTTGAATGCCAGAGTGACTCAGTTTTACTGTTTCAGGGTTTTTTCTTTTAGCTCACGATGTTTTACTGCCTTACGTAGTTCTCATGATAGCAGGAATTAAACAGGAACATATTCCACAAATTACCATCATAGTTTTCTTTTTCATGAGATTGTTTAGCGTCACAGCATATTAGAGGCAGAAACCACTTCACTTGGACCCAGAGGATGTGTCCTCATGGATTCTCCTTGTTGTTACAGACTCACAGTGTGATTCTGGAAGGATCATTACCAGCTTTGTGTGTGCATTTGTTTGTGCATAATAAACTGCCAGAAAAGATAGCTGTTGTTGGACTTGTCTCACTGGTGCTCCTCGAGCTTGTGCTGGGTGTTTTGTGCCCTTGCTGAGGGTTCAGTAGCTCTTGGTGGTCCTGGGCTTGCAGCTCCAGAGAGTCCCTGTGGTCAGGCAGAGGGGTGGGTGAGATGCCACTGATGGCCCTGAGCTCTTTAGGGGCAGCTGTGCCCTCACACCAGGCCAGCCTCCTGCTAGAGACCTTATGGCCACAGCTGGTGAGGAATCTATTATTTGAAATATTTATCTTTTGAATAACTTAAGTTCATGGCTCGTTGTGGTACTGCTGGTGGAAACACTGCATTTTTCTGAATGTGATAAAAGCGTGGGAAATGCATGACATTTGGTATTTTTCATTGTCCCTGATGCAGGTCAGTGACCAGGAAATACTCAGGGAGGGAGGCAGCAGCCACCTTTAAAGACACATGAAGAAACTGCTGCCCTGGCACCTGGGTACTCACCAGTCCCCTTTCCTGCAGTACCTCCAAGCCTTCTGCTGACCAATTACCTTTCTCAGGGTTTCCTCATCTTTGTGTTTGGACATGTGCCCACGTAATAGCTGCTGAATCTTCATGCTCAGTTCTTGGCCTCAGGTCACAACAAACTGTCCATGGGATGAAGTTTATTGTCAGATCTCACAGATGTGTGAGTTATTGCACTGCTTGAATGAAGCAATGTGTTCAGTGCTAGCATTAGCAAGAATACTATAGAAAAAGCAACCCTCACAGATGAAAGGAAGAGAGGTTTTGGTTCAGTCTACTACAGGACAAGAAACAGTA